GTCAGCACAGAGCCGGATGCAGGGCTTGAACTCACAAACTGTGAGATCATGATCTGAGCCAAAGCCGGACACTCAACCGACTGAGCCACCCAGGTGCCCCTAAACTGTATACTTTATATACTAAAAGTAAATACCTGGGCACCTCCATGGTTCAGTCAGTGAAGCATGCGACTCTTGATCTCTGGGTTGTGAGTTCAAGCCCCATGTTGGGCGTAGACATTACTTAAAAATTTTTTTTTAAATAAAAATAATCACAAACATTGTGGTGAGTTTTAGAAAAGGTCCATATACATATAGATCAGTGGTTCATATGCCTTTTTAATTCATGAACTCCATTGAGAATTGAGTTAAAAAAATTACGGATTCCCCCATCCCCTCCTCAAAAAACTATATAGATCAATATAGATATATAGAGAAGCAAGTTCCCACAAGGGCCGTCTAGGTGACATAAATACGTCAACTGGGCCAAGTGCAGACAATACAGAATAGCGGTGCTCGTGTTGAACTAGAAAGTAATGCCAAGTTAAGACAATAGAGAATGGTAGGGCCTGTGGAAAACTAGGGTTCACATCCTTACCTAAGCCAAATTCAAACTCTCAACAATTTCTAGAAAATAACACCTGCTACATATAACACATTTGAGGTCAGTTTGACTGCAGATCCCTCCGGTTTGCGGTCCAAGGCCCCTTACTGTATTCATTAAACATGGGGGTGTTCTCATTTTTTGGCCCCAAGGCACGTCAGCAAGCTCAAGTACGTCACCAAATGGCCGAGGACAGCAGAGCCGATTACTCGTCAATTCTCCAGAAATTCAACCACGAGCAGCACGAATATTACCATACTCACATCCCCAACATATTTCAGGTAAGTGATTCAGACCTCCCGAGGTGGCCTTGCTTTGAGAGCCACGTTGCCTTGGAATCACGATGGCTGGGCTTATATGCTGAGTATTTATATAGAGTTCTAAATTTCCTGGCACCGAAGCCATTTTTTAAAGCGTCCGGATCAAGCCTTGACTGGCACCAAGGTGAACTAGAACATTAATCTCAAGGTTAATCAGTTGGCCTTTCCAGACATCCTCGGTTGGTACCTGCAGCCTTTCTTGGCCAGTTTGAGAATTTACAATTCTTAGATTAGTGCCCTTTTCGCCGAAAGGACAGTTCTGGTTCTGAAATGCCAACTTAACCTGAGGAGTCCTAGCGGAATTCCTAAGGTTGTAGGATTTGAACAAAGGACAGAACTTTTCTCTGGATTGTTTCTCTTTGGGCTACTTTAGGTTGTCGGAAATGGCATGAAGAAAGATGTATACGTGTTCTCCTGCTTTGGGAATCTTTTACGACCTGTGTCCAGTTGTAGGGAAAATAACAAGTATTTGCGTCTTAGTGTCTACGCACACAGCAGACAAGAAGCTCCAGCTTGTGGAAGGAAGATACACCAGTGACATCTCGGCCTGTGTTGGGTTGAGGCGGTTAACTAACGCCAGGCTTTTGGTAAAGAGTGAAGTAGGGGATCAAAGACAGAAGAGATTGTCTGAAATGTATCGCCAATAAAAGCACTTGAGTTTGGGGTTCTCAATGAAGCTGGAATGGAATCCTATAAAGTATAGTAAAACCTTGGTGCGCGAGCATAATTCATTCCGGAAGCGTGCTTGCAATCCAAAGCACTCGTATGTCAAAGTGAATTTTAGGAACCATTGGCTCACTTGTGATCCTGTGACACTCGGCATCGCGTACCACTCGTTTGCAAGGCGTCGCTCGTTTATCGAGTTAAAGTTTATTAGAGATGTTTGCTTGTCTCGTGGAACACGTGCAGAACAAAGTTACTCGCAATCCAAGGTTTTACTGGATACATTTGGGCAGCCTAACGATTCATAAAATAACGTGTGCAGCTGGTGAATGTGGAGGCAATAATTACAATGATTGTCTAGCTCGAACCCTATCGATGGACCTGTTTCCCTCCTAGACTGTTTGCTAGAGGTAACAGCGCCACTGAAGGCAACTTCCGTAAGTAAGAGTGGACTACGTTAATTTCATACAAAATCTAATGTTGCAGAAAATACAGGAGATGGAGGAAAGGAGGATACTGAGGATTGGGGAGTCAATGAAGACCTACGCCGAAGTTGATCGGCAGGTGATTCCGATCATTGGGAAATGCTTGGATGAAATAGTAAAGGCGGCCGAATCGATTGATCAGAAGAATGTAAGTATTGTAGCTTGGACTTAACTTACAACCAAGTATCTCTGGTTCCACCATTTCTTCACCACCGTCTCCAGTGACCTCACTGGATCATCTCGCGGTGGGGAGTTGCTTCCCGTGATCACCAGTACTTTGATCAGTCGTTATACCGCTTTCAAGTGTTCTCTTCATCCCTCAGGGTTTTGGATTCAGCTCTCAAACTTCTTTTGTGGGAGACACAGATAAGTCTGAGACATCGCAGAATTAAATGGCTTTCTTGTCCGTTGGCTGAATAACCCCCCACATTGGGATCTGGTTCTTTAAGGCACTACTGAGGTTTCGGGCCAGGTAGTTCTTTATCGTAGGGGCCCGTCATGAGCACTAAAGGGTGTTTAGAAGCATCCCTGGTTTCTACCCACCAAATGCCGGAAGCATCCCTTCCCAAGTTGTAATGGTCAAAAGTGTCTCTGGACGTTGCGAAATGTCCCCTACAGGGCAACACCGTCTCCGTCTGAGAACACTGCTTAGGGCCAGTGTCATTCGTTTGGATTCCTTTCCTAGAAACCTGTTTTCCCTCAATAAAAGTATCGACTAGAACACCAGCATAGGCTTTTACAAACATTCATTAATTTGCAAAACCAAATATTGAACAAAAAGCGATGTCGTAAGTCTTCCTTGTCATACGAGTGTCTTAAAATGAGTCCAGGTGAGGGATCAAAGCCGTCTTTTCTGTATGAACATATCTCAGCATGTAGATTTTTCATTGCTCTGAGAATATGTGTGTTAACATTTAAGGCCATGTGTGTAAAAAAACAAAAAACTCTCGTCAATCCAATGTGCAGAAATACTTCCAAATGTGTTAAGTGGTAAGTGTTTTTAGGGGGAATAGTTCCAGTAGCAGGCATATTTTTTTCATTTTAGGATTCCTCGACCTCTGTTTTAGTAAATCTGTTTGCCAAGAGCCCTCTTCTTCGGGGATTTCAGCCAACTTTTGGGGGGAAAATTACTGATGCTTCTGAATTAATGGTGTTTCCCTCACAAAACTACGTTGTGCCCACATGGATTCACAAGTGATCAAACCATCCTTTCCTGAAGCTGAAAATTTCTTTATTTGATGGTGGTTTTCTTTATGTCCTTTAAGCATCTGAAGGGAAAAACAGTTTAGACACACGTGACTGGGCTTGCATCCACGCAGTCAAGTTTTTCCATGCAACAAGTGCCTGCTCCGTTTCCTTATTGCCATTGCTTCATCAATTTCATCGATGGTGGCTCATCGATGCCTGGCTCATAGAGGGAAATCAAGTCTCCGTGAGGCTTTTTCTAATCTCCCTATTTAAAATGTCAACGGTCACCAATAAAATACTGTGGGGAGGGACCTTTTAAAGGGAAATAGTAATGGGGCGCCTGGGTGACTCAGTCAGTTGCATGTCCGACTTCGGCTCAGGTCATGATCTCGCGGCTCATGAGTTCGAGCCCCGCATGAGGCTCTGTGCTCGGAGCCTGGAACCTGCTTCCGATTCTGTGTCTCCCTCTATCTCTGCCCCTCCCCACCCCTCTCTTTCTCTCTCTCTCAAAAACGATAAACGTTAAAAAAATTTTTAGAAGTGAGGTCAGTTCTTGACTTTTTTCCTTAGCTTCATTACTTCTGGCATTGATGAAAATCTGAAACAAGCCTGGTTTAAATTTCTTATAGTAAGAAGCTTGGAAATTTCTTTTTCCTTGAAATTTATCAGATCACGTCTGAAGGATGGGTTTCCCTTTATAGGTTTTATCTGAGAAATTGTGAGCCCGCTGGATTTATAGGATATTTCTCCCATTATGGGATCCTTGTTTTCCATTATATCACTGATAATTCTTTCTCACCTGTGACCTTTATGTTGCTAAATCCAAGGGTCTTTCTTTCTTTCTTTCTTTCTTTCTTTCTTTCTTTCTTTTAATGTTTATTTATTTTTGAGAGTGAGAGAGACAGAGCATGAGCAGGGAAGGGCAGAGAGGGAGACACAGAATCCAAAGCAGGCTCCAGGCTCTGAGCTGTCAGCACAGAACCCGATGCAGGGCTTGAACTCAGAAGCCGTGAGATC